CCAACTGATGACCACCAAACCAGGCCATCACCATCACCAACTGATGGMCACCAAACCAGGCCATCACCATCAYTGTCACCTTGTGCTTCTCCCCTCAGGGACAGGACTCTCCTGCCATGAGTAGGACTGGGGTAAGATCTGTGATGAAGAGGAGCAGCTTCACCGCTGGGAAGCYCCAACACTTTGCAAACCACTGGCACCAATGTCCTCCTCAGCCCCTTTACAGAGGACACCTCAAACATCCCACAAACATCACGYAGACAGGGAATTTCTGTGAAAATATTGGAATATATTTGAAAAGATTAATCATGGATGACTTTACAGTACCACCCCATATTTTCATCTCATACTTTATTTAACAATATTAAAGAGGCACTTTAAAAGCACACGGACAACATCATAAAACGGCGTTTCCTGCTCTCTCTCTGCTTCTCTGGACAAAATATCAAAATAAAAACTTTTGACAGAACACATTGCACCCAAGGTAAATTACCTACAATAGTTTTTTATACAATACAAAGAATTGTAAAGATACATATTAACAGAATAAAGCCTCTTTTTTTTTTTTCTTTTAACTCTAAAACAAAACAAAAAATAATTGCAGGACAGACGCAAAGTACTCTGACTGTTCATATCACATCAGTGCATTACTTCACCTCCTTGACTTGGGAGTATTTCAATAAAATCTTTCCATGTCCTCATTTGCACCTGAGATTTCTTTCTGGATCCAAAAGTTCGGTTGTAGAACGTGCTCGTTTAACGTGACGTAACCTTTTCGACACTATGGAGTACCAGCATAGAGTTTTTTCCCTAAAGTTCTATTTTCTTCCCTAAGTCTGATGTATTTTTTCCCCCAAAGTTGTATTTTTTCCCCCTAAGCTGTGTGATTTTTTCTCCCTAAAGCTGAATTTTTTCCCCCTCGAGTTGGATTTATTTTTTTTTTTTTAATTCTCTTTTCCTGCTTAATTTTTTTGACAGGTAACGGCTTCTTCCTACCAATTCCCTTTTTTTTTTTTTTCAATCAAGGAAGTCTGTATTCACATTACAAATGAAGAATAGCACCAGTAACTGCATAGTACAAGCGGATACCTATAGAGCCACTACGTCAATACAGTAAGAGAGTTTAGAAGTGATACCATTGAGGGCACTCGGACAGTACCGGTTTTCGCTGCGGTAAATTGGCACAGTTTTCTCGTTGCACAAAAAAAACAAAACCTCCCCACAAACAAAAAGAAAAAACGCACACGCACACACWCWCACACACAMMAMAAAAAAAMAACCCAAAACCCTAAAAAATCAGAGTTTGTCACAAGTGTCAAGGTGCAGTTTGCTCGTGGGGACGCTTCTCCTCCAGTCCCATCGTCTACAGTGGTCAAAGAGTGGCAGCATCCTCTGGAGGGCTCCGACAGCCCCAGAGCTGGGTTGTTCTTCTCTTGACGATGTAGAAACAAAATTCTTRGGGATGGCTGTCAAAATATAGGACACTTGGGTCTTAATTTAATTTTTTAAATTGTATCATCGCTTAGGCCAGCTCCCAATTAAATGAATTGTACGGGATTATTTGTGCAAAATCTTCCAAAAAAAAAAAAATTTGCTTTCTACAGTGTACTGCACCTTATGAATAAGACGTCTACGGAATGAAGTTCATCTCTTCAAGTACTTTGTACAAAGATAACACAGACACAGACTCAAAAGGGTCTGAGATTTGCAAGTATCCTTATAACCTCAGCACTTCTGCAATAAAGAAATTGCTCTCGACGATTCAGTCTGCCCAAAGCGATTACAATTTCAGTTCATGAAAATCATCAGCAACATCAAAGTTCTAGCATTTGCATGATAAATCAGGTGAATTAAAGTAGATTAGTAGACACAAAGCAAACTATTTCACAGAGGCTGCAGTGCAAGTTCATTTAAGCTAGACAGAGAAATCATGCTACACAAACGAATTTAATGCTTTGATAATTTTTCCCTTGCAAACCCCATGAAAGCAGCTGAGGATCACCATAAGTCACTTCCATAAATTACTCTGAAGTATCTCTTCTTAAAGGAATTTTAAAGCTGGTTAATTTCTGCCCAAAGAGTTGGCTGAGCAGGTTGTTCTGGGACTCGGCGCTGCGGTAGCTGGCCGTGCCGGCCGCCCTGGCCCCGCGGGCAGCGCGGTGGCCGTGCCAGGAGCCACGTGGGGATGGCCCTTTGGCCAACACTTGGTGGAGGCTCTTGCCCAGAATGGCCTTCCTGCGCTTCACGTCCCCGTTGGCGTGACGGAGCTCCTCTTTCCTCTGGTTGTAAGGGTCCAGGAGCATTTTCTTCAGCTGGGAGCCGGTTCTGGGTTTGGGACCCATCTTGTTGCAGTGCGTGTCCCTCCTGCCGGGGGACAGGGCGGGAGCCTCGGCGTTGCTCCAGCTGCCACGTTTGAGCTCAGCGGTGCTCTCGCTCCTCACCGGGCACGGCGGCCGGGCTTTCTTCTTCTTCCCGTCTCCTTCCATGTTCTCCCGGGAGCCGGAGCTGCTGCGGTGGCTCAAGGATTTGTGTTCTTTCCTTCTCTTGGGGTGAAGCTTGCCGGACGCTCTGCCCGGCTCCGCGTGGCCGTGTCTCACGGCTGCCTCACCTCTGGGCTGGTGGCTGCTGGATTTGCTTGGGCTGCCACTTTGGTCCTTGGCATTTGGGCTGCTGTCCTTAGCCTCAGGCACGGATTTCTCCTTCCCTGAGATGGGCTGCTGTCCCTCCTCGGTGCTGCCACTGGGGCTGCCTGCACCGGGAGCAGCCTCGCTACCCACGGTCTTCTTTGGTGGGACCGAATCTTTGGCAGCTCTGTTGAGTGTGGATGATGCCGTTTTGTCCTTCAGGGGCAGGGGCTGGTGGGCACCTTCTGGARATGAGCCCTTAGGTGCACCTTCCCAAGCAGAGGCATCGCCAGCACTGGGGTTGCCCCATTTGTGGGTCTCYGTGGCTGGTGGAGACTCTGCCTGAGGGGAAGGAAGCTCTGARACCTTCTTGGCAAGCTGGAGAAATGGGATCCCATCCATGGCATCAGTGTTTGCACTGGGATTATCCAGGACACACGCCCTGTATTCATCTTTGCTGCCCGTGCTTGTTTTTTTACGGCCATCGGCACAGCCACGTTTCTCGGTCAGGTGTGGAGGGGACAGTTTTTGGTTGGTGGCCTGGTGACAAGCCAAGCCAGCAAGGTCCATGGCAAACTCAGGCGAGTCCAAGAAAGGAAGGGGTTTCCCATCAAAGGCTCCTTTCTCCAGCTCCTCGATGGCTAGGCCAGCGATGTGGCCGAGCTCAGGGCTGCTGGCAGCAGCTGGTGGCAGGGATGGGGACAGGCAGGGTGGTGGTGGCAGGGGGTCAAACGGGGACTTCTCCATCTCTGCCAGGAAYTCCGAGAAGTCACCCACCAGGACTTCTTTTACAGAAGGTTGGGRTGCTCCTGGCTCACCAGGCGCTGTTGGGAAGGAGTCAGAGGCAACCTGCAGGCTGGGGCTTGCAGCCTCCACCAGCCGAAGGTCACTGGTGGGGCCCAGGTGRACTGGTGACCTGTGTGGGACTGAGCTGCCATAGTGAGCCACCTTCTGCTTCTTGCTCGGTGGCATTSCCTCCCGGAGAGATCCATCCTCCTTCACCTTCTCCCTGCCCTCCCTGCAGGCAGCGCCAGGCCTCATGACCCCTCGGAATTTGAAAGTCTTGTTGCTGCCCGCCAGGTGCTTCTCCATGTGCCGGTCGTACTGCTCCTTCTTGGAGAAGGTGTAGTTGCACATGCTGCAGATGAAGGACTTCTTGATGACGTGCATGACGTCGGCGCAGAGCTCACAGGCGTACAGGGTGGTGTGYTTGATCTCCTGCTCCTCCACCACGCCGTGCTCCTGGCTCAGGTGGCTCCGGAGCTCTTTGGTCTCCTGGTAGAACATGGGGCACTTGTGGCACAAGTAAATCTTCTGCAAGCTGTGCACGACCAAGTGCCGCTGGAGCTTGAAGGGTTTGGGGAACTGCTTGCCGCAGTGATGGCAGTCCCGGGAAGGATCCTTGCAGTCTGGGTGCATGGGGACAGATTTTGGGGTGGTTTCACTTTTTGCCATGTGCTCTGGGGATGGGCTGGCGGATGCTTTGGAGGAGCTGGGCGCAGGTGGCTTCACCTTGACGTTGCTTTCCGAGGGGTCTTTCATTGCCTTCTCCTGCTCGAGGGGCAGCTCCTTGGGGCTCTTGCTCTCTCTGCTGACCCCGTGCTGGCTGCTGGGGTCACCGTGCCGGGAGGACCTRCCAGGCTTCCGATACATGATGGTGTTGAGGAAATGGGTGACAGCGGCGTTGTCCTCACCGAAGCAGCCCGGCAGGCCCATCACCGACTTCTGCGCCTGCCCCTTGCGCGCAAACTGCGTGGCGTGCTCCCGGAGGTGCTCGTTGTACATCCACACGTCCGAGATCTCCTTCAGGCACATCCCGCACGCCCACAGCCCGGCTTTGTTCCTGGCGTGCTTCTCCTTCAGGTGGTCCCGGAGCTGCTCCCGGGAGCTGAATTTCCGCTGGACACACATGTAGCAGGTAGGAGGAGGGGAAGGGTTGTGGGACAGCTTGTGGAAGTCCAGCTCTCCCAATGTCAGGAACCACTGGAAGCAGACCTTGCATTTGTACTGCTTGTCTTTGGTTTTGATGGTTATCTCCCCACGGTTTTTCCCCAGTTTCCCATCTTCCACCTTGCTCCTGTGCTTGCCTGACTTTGGCTTCAAACTCGCAGCATTGTCTTCCCCATGGCCAGCAAGATCCTCGCAAGGGCCGAAGAAGCACACGTCTCTCATCTTCAGCTTTGCGTTCAGCATCTCGATGTTGATRGTGTGGAACTCGGGAGAGTCCAAATCCTCATCTTCCTTGGCATCGTAGGGCTCCTCCTCCAGGTCAGGGGGCTCTGAGCTCACTTCTCGGAGTGAGTGCTCATCCTCAAGGCCCATCAGAGGCTCAAACATGTCCTCGGCAGAGAGGCTTTCCCCCTCCTTCTCCAGACTGCCCCAGATGTTCAAGCTGGGGACRTTGTCCATGTGGCTGCTTTGGCACAAGAAGGTCAGCATGTTGTCCTCCAGGTCAATGTCCTCCTTCCCTTGSTCGGTCACCTCATGGTCCAACCTCAGCTCGATGCTTTTGGATCCATTTGGAGCAGCATCTCCGCTCTTTGCCTTGCCACCATGGCACATGTTCAGCATCAGGGCATCGTCAACGGAGATGGTCTCGTACTCACAAGGCTCCTCYCTGGTGACACAGAAGGAGCCGGTGTCGCTGAGGTCAGAAGCCAGGCGGATGGTGAAGAGGTCGATGGCCCCCGCTGGCTGCAGGTTGACCTCAGGGACAGGTTTGGGTTTCTTGCTGCGCTTCCCATACACCCGCGTGCACTTCCTCCGGACAAACTGCTCATCGCGGGGGAACAGCTGGGAGAACGTGGAGTCATCGTCAAAAAAGCTCTGGAGGTCGGAGGTGGCCGTGCTGTCCCCACAGTGCTCCCTGCCTGGTGGCACATCTGCCTTCACCCATCGCTTTGGCTCTGCAGGAGGAGGGCTGGTCCCTTGTGTGGCCTGCAGAACGCTGTGCCCAGAAACACTTTGGGGGGTTCCCAAATCATGGTTCTCCAGCAGCACAGCCCCTTTGGCAGGAGCTGTGGGATCCTGTGGGGCACCATTCCAGCTCCCGGTGTTGCTGCCCGCTGCAGGACTGTCCCTTGTCCCAGCATCCATGTCCCCTGTGCCATCAGCRCCACGATGCTGCTCTGTGCCCACCTTGCCCAAACCCTTCGCCACTTGCTTCACAAACCCGCTAATCCATTTTTTGCAAACCTGCATGTCTTCCACTCCATCTGGACCTTCCACCTCCCCAGGATAGGTGACCATGCCCGTAGCAGTCTCCTTGCTGACCATCTCTTTTAGMGACACCATCCTGCTGCCCAGGTCTTCTGCGAGCTCAGCTGCACAAGGGGACTCTTTGGCTTTTTGGGAGTGCTGGGCTGTGCTGGTCCTGCTTGGCTCCTCTGTGGAGATGAAACCACCTGGCTCATGCAAGCCCTCCATGATCCTGGGCGGGCTGGAGCTCAGGGCAGCCGGGGGAGGAGCTGTGTTCTTCTGCAGCTCACTCGGACCATCGGGCTCATTCCTGCTGGGAAACACCTTTGCTTTCCTTCGCCTCACTTTCCTGTTGAGCTGCTTCTCAGAACTGCCGTTCTCCTCTCCAACATCTTTGCTTTGGCTTCTTCTGCCCTTGTCTCCCTTCCTGACCCGCCATCCCGAGCCCAGCTTCCCAGACACCGCCTCTCCTGATCCCCTCATCTCCGAGCCCTTTGCTTTCACCTCCCTCTGCAGAACCTGTGTGTGGTACAGCTCCTGGGACATCTCCAAGGAGATCACGCTGAGGTCACTGAGCACGCTGCTGACCACCTCCTGCATCTGCGTGCTGGGCTCTTTCTCCAGGTCTGGGAGAATTTTCTTGGGAATGTGTTCAACGGTGGAGGTTGGCACCTGGGAGCTCCAGGTTTTATCTTCGACTGAYGCTTTCAGGCTCCTCCTGGCCACCTTTTGGGCTGCTTTTGATGTCTTGTGTGAAGGAATCAGAGGGGATCTGGGAGTTCTGCTGGGCTGTGGCAAACCTCTGTTCTTCACCTGGTGCTTGACAGCTTTGTGCCTGGTCAGGCCGGGCTTGGACCGGAAAGTGGCTGAACAAATGTCACAGGTCACCGGGAGTCCACTGGGCTTTTTTCCTTTGTGGAGTTCATTTTGGGAAGGGTCTGGAGCACTTTTGGGTGGGTTGTCTTCTCCTTGGCCCACACTGTTTAACACACAACCCCCAGCTTCTGCAGCCCCATGGCTTTGGGATTTCTCCTCTTTTAAACACTTTTCTTCACTTTCTGTGGTTTCAGAAAGACCAAGTCYCACCTCTGCTGCCCCTGAAAACTCATGGCTGTTTAATTCAGCAGGACCAAGATCTCCAGCCCTGGTAAGACCTCTGCTGATGGCAGCTGACATGTCCTGAACAGCAAAGCCATTGGACAAAGCCTCTGGTTCACTTTGATGTTTATTCCCATCACRGGAGCAGCTTTCAAGCTTGTTCTCTTGGTTCAGGTCCACCTCCCTTTCTCCTRTGGGCAGAAGATCTGCTGTGGGGTGGGTTGGATAGTCCTGGATTTCTGGAGGAGTGGAGCTGATGACGGTGTCTGTGATGGCACATCCTTGGTTTTCTTTAAAATCYGGCAGCACAGCACCGGTGCTTTCAGGGACCTCTTTCTGGTTGAAAGGTGGTGAGCAGGGMAGAGAACAGTCCTTCCCAGGAGTTTCCTGGTGACCATCCATCTCCAAGGCAGAGCCCACCAGACCATCACCATGCAGCAGAGCACAGGGTCTCACTGTCCCCTCTCTTTCAGGTGATCCACAGTTACCCAAAACACCGTCAGGGAGGTGAGGRTGACATTCCTCAGCTGCTTCCACCAGCACAGCCCCGCAGTGATGCAGTGAAGGAGGGAAGGTGGGCGCTCTTTTCCACGTCCCTTGCTCTGCTGGGCTCACACTGTGATGGATGTGAAGGCTGCTGGGCTCAGGAGGACAATTCTTTGTGACCAATGAGCTCGGTGTGKTAGGCAGGGACGAGCTGTACTTCTTCTCATCGGAGAGCTGAGCACCAAAGCTGGGGATCTCTTCCCCCTCAGCCCCACYGCTTTGCAAGCATTTCAGGTCAGAAAATGCAGCTGCAAAAGGCAGGCTGGCTGGAGAGTCACCCATGTAGTGACAGCCATTGAGGGACAACCTGGCATTCCCTTCTCTGGGAACCTCTGCACTGACTGTGCCGGTTTTTAACTCTGTCCCCAAGCTGTGACSCTGGGGGACACCCTCCTCAGAGGGYCCTGGGGGGCTGACGGGACTCGTGGGAGCACTGCCCAGGGGCTGTGCCCCTTTTCCCACCCAGCTCCTTTCCAGCTTCTGTCCCTCTGCTCTGCCCAGCGTTTCTTCCTCGAGTAAACCACGGCTGAGGTGGGATTGCTCATGTTTCCTAAATGCCAAGGTCGCTGTGTTGTTATCTTCCTGCTGCTCTTCCCTGGGCCGATCAGCTTTCCTCGCCTGCCCTGGCAGCGGGGTCACCGCGGTGCTGCTGGGTGGTGAGAGGTCATTACGCTCCTGGGAAACACCATCTGCAGGGATATTGATGTCCCTTGGCTCCGTGGGCTCATTTGCTAAGTGCTGCAGCTCTGTTACATTATTCTGCAGCTCGGGCTTTGCCGACGTGGATTGTTTTGCATGGTAAGAGCCCTCTGCATTCAAGGACTCCAGCTGCTCACCTGCACTGGGAAAAAGCACTTCTTTCCCTGGAGCAGCGCYGTTCCCTGTGTTGTTTCCCATGGGGATAACCCCTTCCCCTGGGSTCTGATTTTCCCCTTCCAAGGCACYGCTGCTCTGCTCCCTGTGCTGTGTCTGGACGTGGGTGGTGGCACAGGGCTGGCTGGCAGCCAGGAGCCCAGGGAAGCAAGGCAGCAACAACTCGTCCTCGTTGTTCTTCACCGTCCGGGCAACGAAGAGCTGGAGCTGCTGCAGAGGGTTGGCAGAGGTGTCCTGRGATGCCACCATCTCCTGGGAAGGGCGGTCGCTCTCCTTGGGCAGGCTCAGCATCTCAAACAGCAGCACTTTGCTGGCTTTGTCACTGGCTGCAGGGCTTGGATRGGTGGTGGGACTCTTCCTCTCCTCCCCTTCCTCCACCAACGCAGACCCACCACTATCCCCTTGGAGATCCACAGCAGTTTGCACTGTTTTGGGGGACTCGGTCTTGCTTAAGGGTCTTTCTTCTGTATCTGGGACCTCTCTGATGGGAGGTGAAAAGGTGAGGGCCAAGGCTGGGGTGGGRCCCTGCTGGAAGCCAAATTCAGGTTTAGGGGTTGGAGTATGGGCATCAAACTTGTCCAGCTCTGCAGGATCAGCGTCTGCTTTCCCTGGCAAAGGGAAGCCCATGGCACCGTGCTGGCATGGCAGGGATGGCAGGGGGTCTTTGGCTACTTCTGCTGCATCCGTGGTTTTGGGGAACACAGAGTCGGGGATAACAGGAGGGCTTTTTGTCACGGGGTCTGTGGAGGTGGGAGCATCTGTTTGGTCAGTTGAGTCAGGTCGACTTTTGGAAGGAGACTGATTTTCCATCTTCCTGGGCTCTCTTTCCTCCGCAGCCGCAGCTCCCTGGAGCTGCTCCCTGTTGTCTTTGGAGCAGAAATGGTTTGTGGTGAGCGGAGCTGGCACACACATCCTGGATTCCAGCGAGCCCAGCTCCAGTGGGCACGGCCAGGGCTCCCTGGGCCTCTCGTAGTCCTCATGGGCGGTCACCACGTCCGGCTTGTCCCCTCCCAGCCTCTCCCTGATGCAGAGGCTCGAACTGCCCAGCTCACCTGACAAAAACATCCCTTTCTCCTGGCGTGCCTCTGGCTCTGGCAGCGCCGGGAAGCGCTCGGGCCCCTGTGCTTGCAGGTGAGCAGCCACACTGTGCTCAGATTTTGGGAGGGTGACAGACACTTCGGGGTCCAACTTGCTGGTTTGCAGTTGGCTTTCCAGCTCYGTGACCAAACGCTTGATCTCCAGCTCATCATCYGAAATGTTGYTGATGAAAGTCACGTTGTAATCCGYCATCCTGTCTGGCAGCGGCAGGGAGAGCTGGCTGCTGGGGGCAGCTCCTTCCTCAGGGAATTTCTTGGCTGGTGGCTTCTCCACGGAGAGGCTGTGGAAGTGGGTCATGTCTTCWGGCAGCATGGGAGCCACCTCCTCCATGAGGGACCAGTCCTTCTCCGGCATGAAGGATGGATAGGGGTGCTCGAACGGCAGCAGCTTGCGGGGGCCATTCCCAGGACACGGGAACGTTGTCTCGTATCCATCCTTGCTCTCGTACGGATCGAACTCGGAGACAGGAAGCTCTCCAAATATCGATGAGGAATGGAAGCTGAGAGGGGAGGACACTTTGCCCTGCGGCATTTCTGCGGCAAAAGGGGAGATGCTGGCGTGTTTCTGCTCGAAGGAGCCGGCGTCGATGCCATCCCGGCACAGGTACATGTCATCCAGGTGGGACGAGCCCAGGGCTGGGGGCTTTGGGAAGAGGCTGTCATCGTAGTGACCGGGAAGGCCTTTGGGATCAAAAAATGCATTATCACTGCTGGTGTATGGATTGGGGGCCTTGGCAGYGAGCATCATTCCCGCTGCATCCTCCCCGTAGCTGGGGGCTGGTGTGGGATAGTCCTTCTGACTGTCACACAGTCCCTTCATGGGTTTCATTCCTGCTTCCGAGGAGGTGGCACTCCCACAGCCAGGACTTGCTTCATTCCTGCTCTGGGGTGGAGCAGTCACCTCCTCCGTGTGGTACTTCAGCCCTGCGCTGGGGAACGGGGTGAACTGCTGCCTCTGGTGATCCATGTTCAGCTCAGGAGAGCCCTGAGWCTCCAGGGTGGGTTCTCCTGCCTCACTCAGGAGTTTTGCTGCTCCTTTGGGCTCTTCCAGCCCCTCCTTAGAGCAGAGCCCAGTGGTGGCCATGCTGGGCATTTGCCTTTCCTGGGGCTGTGGTGACAGCTCCTTCTTCGCACAGTCCATGGCACCAACACCTGGTTCAATACTCGGCTGTGTCCTGGAGCCTGACAGCAAAGGTTTGGCTGAGCCAATCCTCCTGCTCCCCCTGGGAACGTCCTCTTTGCTCCCCTGGCTCATCTTCGGGCTGCTGTCCTCGGGAGGGCTGAGCGGAGTCCTTGGCACACGGGCCGGGCTGCCCGAGCGCCTCCTCCTCTGGGTGCCACCCTTGTCACCAGTCCCAGCAGCACGGGGTGGGCTCCTGCCCGTCTCTCTGGGCACGCTGTGGCTGCTGCCAGCAGAAGAGTGGATGCTCCTCCTTCGGGCTCTGGCAGCACAATCCTCTTTCTCAGCATCCTCCTGACCCGGGCCCTCCCCGTCCTCCTGTGCCTCTCTTTTCTCACYGTCCCTTTTCCAGTCTGGCTCTTTCTCTCTGGCTCTCTCGTTTCTGCCTGGGCGTTTCTTGCTGAAGCCATGCTTGTTCCTCCTGATGAGTCCTGTGCCACGCTTCCTCCTGCCCCGGGGCTTGCTGTGCTCTGCCCCCTCCTCATCCGAGTCGGACACGTAGTCGTATTCCCTCAGCCTGCCCTCTTTTGTGGCTGCCTGTGGCTTCTCGGTGGCCTGAGGGACCTGGGCCTGCTTGCTGCTCTTCACCTGCAGTTTGTGCAGCTTGTTCTTTTGCTGCACGATCTTGTGGATGAGCTCCTTGCTCCATGTCCCGCTTCGGGCCTTCCTCTTCTTCACGTCCTTCATGGAGAACCGTGGTGGCTTGGAGCTCTTGGCGGCAATACCCGGCCCCACCTCGCTCTTCACCGGCGGGTCCTGGCTGGGTTTCCTGGGGTGTTTTTGGCTGGAGGWGGTGGCTGAGGGGATGCTGTTCTTCCTGCCCGCCCTCAGCCTGGCTGTCCTCTCCGCTCCCTCCGCCGCAGGCTCYGGCTCCTGCGGTGCCACCCTCCGTGCCACCCTCCCTTTGTGAAGGTGCTGCTTTCCTGCCCCTCTCTTCACCTGCTCCCCTCCTGGGTGTCCCTCTTCATAAAAACAGCCAGCCTTGGTGTTTCCCACCGCCTGTTCCTCTGCCACCACATTGGATTTGTTGTCTGAGGCCGGGCCTTCCTTGGCCTTGTGGGCCGTCCCCGTGCTGGCCGCCCTCACACCCGGCAGCTCCTCATCAGCAAACACATCAATGAAGCTGCTGTCGATCTCTGCATTATCYGACTGGTAGCCCAGCCCGTTGAGAGCCTCGGTGATCAGGCTGTCCAGCTTGGCATCGTCGATGTCCAGGTCGGASGCGCCGAGCGGGAGGGAGCCGGCGGCCAGGCCGTGGAAGAGGCCGCCCTTCAGAGCATCCTCCTTGCCCTCACTTTTGCTTTCCCCGTCCAGCAAGAAATCATCGCTTTTGTTCAACGCCAGCAGATTTCCCTGGRGGTCTGGAGACAGCCCGAGGCCGGGGGGTTTGGGAGGCTCTGGCAGGAGCGCTTTCCTCCCCTCGGCTGCCCGGGGAGCGTCCTTGGGCTCAGCGGGGTGGGAGGCGCAGAACTGGCGGTGCTGCAGGAACGATGACAGGTTGCTGTAGTTCTGGTCACACTGCCTGCAGGTCAGCAGCACGTCCAGCTGGTCCAGGCTGGCACTGCTCAGGGAAGTGGCCAGCAGGTGATGGGAGGAGTAGGGTGGTGGAGGCTGCTCCCCGTCCGGCCCTTCCGAGCAGCTTTTGGCCACCTCGCCGGCTTTGTGGAACGGGCTGGCTGGGGTACACTTCAGGAGGCTGTCTGAATCTTTCAGAGCATCCACAGGGAAGTGGAAGGACTTTATGGAGTCTGAAGGGTGGTAATGAAGTGAGCTGGGACTGAGGATGTCGGAGGGGTGGAAAGCTTTGCTGGCATCCTTGGCATGGCAGGGATGCTGGAAGAAGGGTGAGGGGGTCAGCGCTGCGGACATCTGGCCGTCCTCGAAGCTGGGGTTGAGTGGGCTGCTGGACACGGGGGACAGTGACGAGCAGGTGCTGCCACACGTGGGGTTGGGGACAGGGGACGGCAGCGGGGACTCGCAAGGGGAGGCGGCCACCAAGGCCGATGGTGGCAGGACCAGCGCTGAGCCTGATGAGCTCCTGGAGGGAGGAGGAGGAGCTGCTGGAGCCATGCTGTAGAACAGCGCTTTGCTTCTCGAGTCACAGACTGGAGACCCCGGTTCCTTCCCGCTCTCAAAGGAGAACGCTCCCGTCACGCTGGGATCTCCCCTCTGGAGGATCTCTCCTGACAGGAGCTTTTTGCCGTGATACCCCGCAGAGCTGCTTATGGGGGGCCCTTTCTGGGCTTTCCCACTGCCCTGCCAGTCYGACGTGCCCAGGGGGAAGGGGAGCTTCTGGCTGCTGATGTGTCTCGACAGCTCCAGCCTGTTTGCACCGGGCATTGCAGAAGGGAGGTGCATCTGCTGCCAAGGCAGCCTGGCATCTTTCTGCCTGTGCTGCCTCTGCTCGGGGCCAGACTGGCACTCGAATGAGAACTGGTTTCCAACAGGGTTTGAATAAGGTGCTGAATTCTGGTCCATGGGAGAAAACGCCTTCRTGGCACCTTCCCAAGCTTGCACAAGCCTGGGGTGGGTGGGTGCCGTAGTGGGAACGCTCGTCTCGAAAGGCACGGCTCCCGCGCCGGTGCTGCCCGCGGGGGAGCTGCAATAGGCCTTGCTCTGAAAGTGCACTTGGGACAGGGAGTTTGGTGGCACGGTCCTTCTCARGGGGCTGCTCTGCGCCAGCAGCCGTGGGCTGGGGACACCGTCCTTGGCCGAGGCTTGCCTCTTCCCGACCGGCTTGGGCATGGTAGGCGAGTGTAAACTAGACAGAAAAACAGCTTGGTTTTCTCGGAAAGTGCTTGGGTTTTGGTCGATAGCACCAGACGGGAGAGCACCAGTGGGGTCGGCGGGATGCTCGGCCCTACCCTTGCAGAAGGGCAAGGGGCCGTGGTGCGGGGCCGGCGGCGGGTGCAGGAAGGGTGATGGTGGTGGGGGGACGGACAGCCCGTACAGCCTCCCCTCGGGGGACACGCTCTCGTAGGGACCCCCGCTCTGCGGCTCCTCCGGCCACTCTCTGGAGGACGCGTGGAAGGCGAAGGCGCCGGGAGCCAGCTGGGCACCGGTGGCCATTCCCACATCCAGGTACTCCTGGGTGCCCGTGTCTCCACGGAACGGCTCCTTGGCCGCATCGTGCAGCAGCTGGAAGGGGAACTGGCACGGCAGAGCCCCCAGGCCGTGCACGGCGCCTTTGCCACCCTCGGAGAAAGAGCTGGGCTTCTGCACCGAGATCCCGTAGGTAGCACCGGCAAAGCTCTTCTCCGGGGAAGGCCAGGGCTCGGCCCGGTTTGCCTGAAACTCTAAATAATGTAGCTGCCCATGGGTGCCGGGGCTCTTGAGGGGGATGCCGGCGGCGGGGGGCTGCCCCTTGGGGCCGAGGGAGGGGCCGGGCTGTGAGGTATAGTTGCTGGAGGTCCGGCCACCGGCGGCATCGGGGAAGCAGCGGCCGAAGCCGAGTTCTTCTGCCGGGGCGATGGCCGGCACGTGGAAGCGGTAGCTGCCGGCTGCAGGGGTCACCTCCGGCTTCTTCGGGGGCGTCACCTTCTGCTGGGGATAGGCGATGCCGATGGTGGGGCTGGGCCGGGTGCCGGCGATGCTGAGCCGGTAGAGCTGCTGGTGGCCCCGCTCGCCCTTCCCCGAGCGCCGGCCGCGCTCCCGGGTCCGCCCCTTCCCCGGCGGGGACGGGGGGCTGCCCTTGAGCTCTCCCCAGGCGCTCTCATTGCCGAACTTGGGCTTGCACTGGAGGGATTTGAAGTCGATCTTCCCCGCTTGCTGCGGCCGGATCACGGCTTCCCGCTGGCTGTGGGGCTCCTTGTCCTTGGGGCCGGGGAAGGGGGACGTGCCCTCCCCGCCCAGCGCCCTCCCATCCTTGTCCCCGCAGCCGTCACAGCCGAAGTCCTTGTCGGGCTCTTTGGGGCCGGCCTCAGTGTCCCCGATGGTGTAAACATGCTGGGTCTCTCCAGTCATGATACCGAGGAGGGGACAAGGCTACAAAACCCCGCTGTYCCGTCCCGCTGCGAGCTGCCGTGCCCCCGTCACGGGCATGGTTCTCCCCCGATGGGCACCGGCGCGGGCAGAGGGGCAGCAGCTCCGCGGGGCCGGGGTGGCGGCGGGTCCCGAGGGCCGGCGGGGCTCTGCCGCATCCTTTCAGACCTGCAGACAACGGGAGAGAAGAGGGGAAGGCTGGGCGTCAGTCAGGGAAAGGGCCAGAGCAGGCACGGGAGAGATTTTGACCCTTTCTTTGGGGCATCGCAACCCCCCCGAGCAACCCCGGGGTGAAGCCCGGCAGCTTCAAAGGATGCTCAGAGCACTTCACCTCTGGCAAAAGCTGCTGAGGAAGCACTTTTTTTTTTCTCCCGGGAAAGCTATTTCTGGGTTACTTCTTAGCAACATAAGCAGAAAAAGATGACAGAAGAGCTCCACCTACGGATTAGTGGGAAGGGCTGTCGGGATGGGCTGGGAGAGGCATCCTGGGAAGGGCTCTCTGTCCCCATGTCCCCGTGTGCCCGTGTCCCCGTGTGCCTGCGTCCTCATGTTCCCGTGTCCCCAGCTCCCCGTTGTGTGACGGAAGATGAAAGGAAAGGCTTTTGCTTCACCACTTTCCCCCTGGAGCTGCCTCTCATGGCTCTGAAATCCTTGGAGAAAACATYTGAGTTTCTGCTGCCTCTGCCTTAACTTTACCACCCTCCCTGCAAATTGCCCTGGAAATTTTAGATGTTATTAAGGAGGCAAAAGCAGAAAAGTCGAGTCCCAAATTTACCAGTTGATTTTACAACCCAGACCTCGGGGCGTTGGACACGGAGCACAAGTCGAGCGCAGCCTTTTAAAAGGCGCCACCAGGATTTTATATGAAAAAGGTTTTAATAAAAAGAAGGGTAAAGTTCTGCTTTAAAGAGTATTTTTTTAAGAAAAGTCTGCTGGAAACAGTGAGGGTTTATTTCTCCTCCCTCACTGGAAATGTTTCTTTACTGTCTGCTGCAGCGGGTCAAGGCACRACACTGCTGGGAGGGGGTGAGGAGCAGGAAATTCAGCTTATTCCTCTCCTCCTGGATGAAATTCCCACAGTTCCCAACCCCACTTTGTCCACCCAGCAGTGACCTGAGCAGAGAAGGAGAATTTCTGCAGAAGAGGAGCACCCTGCATTTATCCAATGTGGCTCCTCTCTCCATTCCCACCTGGAATCTGACAGGATGAGCACCCAACACCCTCAACGCTGCATTAATTAACAATATTTGGGACAGAGAGAGGCGGCTGCAGCAGCGCTCTGGGGCTCCCCTCTCCGGTTCGAGCTCCCAGGCCTGAATTCCTCCCCAATTTCACACCCCGCCGAGTGAAACGGATCCGGGGCCGATAGGGTCGGAGCCGACCGTGCCGGCTCCGCGGCCAAAGCTCACACGCGGCCCTTTGGCACAAAGGGCTCTGCTGGGAAAACAATGCCCCACTTATGCCTGAGCCAGCCACAACTCCAGAGCCCGTTTGCTGCTGTTTAAATTTGCAAAGGCTCCTTGCCAAGATAAAATACCCAAGGCCAGCGCTCGCTACATTATCACAGTCGGGCTTTTCAGCCACATAAAGGAGCCCTTTTTTTTTGTTTTCCTGAGGGAAAGGCTCGTCGGTGTGGCTGGAAAGCTGCAGGATTTGCATGGCCAGGGTTGAGGGGGGGCCGGTGCTGAGCGCCAGGAGACACAAACATCCTGCTCCCCGTGCTGGCAGAGGGATGGGGACAGGGACAGCAGAGCTGGGGRCACGCAGGACTGTGCCACTGATGATGGCATCCACGTCCTGGTGGTGGTGGCACAGCCTGGGCAGGAAATGGGTGTGAATTTACTCCATGCAAATCACAGATGGTGCATAGATATGAGGGCAAGGTGTAAATTCGGGATTTCCGCGGCAAAATCCCCGTGCCGGGGTTTGGGGAGGTTCCTGTCCTTGCGTGGGGGTCACCCTTGTTGGCTGTGGCCATGGGGATCGCTCTGAGGTGGCCCAGCAGCCCCGGGAGCAGGGAAATCTGGGGCCTCACGAGGCTCCGATGGGGTGATCGATAAGGAGGGCTGGGCGTGTTGATTTAAAGTGATATTCCCCAGGCAGCTCCTGCATCCCTCCCCCGAGGGGTTATGGATCCTGCACAGGCACGGTTCACCCCTGTGGGATGGGAAACCCAGGAGAAAAACAAAAATAGGGACAATTTCATGTGGCTTTTCCAGCCCTGCCCTCAGGACCAGGCTCCTCTCTGGGTTGCCACTGGCATCGCTTCTTGGATTTTGACATTTCAGCTCCTGGAAGGGGAGCTGGAAAGGGATGGAACGGAGGCAAAGGAACTTTGGCTGTAAAAAGCCCATGTGGTGTTTGCTGCCTGGCTGCAGGGAGAGCCATCCCCACCTGCCTCTGCGTGCCTTGCCGGGGCTTGGAGCATCCCGGGACCGACCCGGGGCCACCCTCTGCGGCTCGGGGACAGGGGACAGGCTGAGCAGCGCTGGCAGCAGCCTGGCTGGCACGGCAGGGCGCTGCCTGCGGCTCGGCGGGGCAGGTCCCGTCCTGCCGGAGCTCCAGAGTGCCAGGCGGGGTGTGATTCACCGCCCCGGCACCGGGCACCCGCAGCCAGGCGGCTCCTGCTGCCTCCAGAGCYGCCGGTGCCCGCGGGGCACAGCTCAGGGTCTCTGAGCACCTCCGAGCTTCCCAATCGCTCCGCATTTAATGCTGCAGGGCTGTCCCAGCAAATCCCGGGGGACCACAGCACAGCCAGCACTAAAAAAAGCTGGAATCCCACCAGCAGCTCATCTGGGAYACCCTACAGGGACCTCACCGCGGTGAGGGGACCACCAGGACCACGCCACAAACAGAGCAGTGACAGGGGAAACATCCCCGCGGGGCAAACCCCCGCTCCGCTGGAAAAACAGCCGGGAGGGAACGGGACGGCTGTGTGAGGAGGAAAAAAGCCAAACATCCCGCGGGGAAACCCCAGCAGCTGCCGGGGGGAACGGAGAGGCAGGGCTCCGGCGCWGGGAATCACTCCTTCCCACGGCACGGACAGGGGATGGCGGCGGCGGGGGCTGGCACAGCCGGGMTGGGGCTCTCCCCTGCCCGACCTTGGCGGGTCGGTTCCTGCGGTGGTTCAGCTCCAGCTGGAACCGAGCCCGACCCTGCTCCGATCGCTGCTCTATCGCCCGCGCTGATCCCGCGGGCACGGACTGTTCCTGCCCCGCGCTGGACACTGCCAGGACAGCCCTGCTGGCACCGCGACACGTGTAGGGGTCGGGAGGGGGGCTCTGTTCGGGCTGGGGTCCCGGGGTTTGGCACTGGTGAGCTCAGAGCTGCTCCTGCCAGGGGAACAAACCAGCACAGGATGGGTCAGGASCCAGGGAACGGCTGGAGCTGTGCCAGGGATGGTTTGGGATGGAGATCAGGGAAAGGTTCTTCCCCCAAAGGGTGCTGGGCATGCCCAGGATCACCAGGGAATGGGCACAGCCCTGAGGCTGCCAGGGAAAACTCTGAAAACTCTCAGGCTGGGATTGCAGGGCCGGGGGGTGGATGGATGATCCCTGTGGGTCCCTTTCCAGCTCAGGACACTCCATAATTCCATGCRGCTGCTGCTCGGCTCAGGGATCAGGGACAGGCGTGGGAGTGGGTGGCTGGAAAAACTCAGGATGCCAACTGGGTGGCATCAGCCAGGGAAGTGSCCTTCGCTGTGCTGGTGGGAGGGAGATGGGTGGGGGCAGCATTCCAGTGCTAAAGGGGCTCCAGGAGAGCTGGAGAGGGACTGGGGACAAGGAATGGAGTGATGGACACAGGGAATGGGGTCACACTGCCAGAGGGCAGGGATGGATGGGATATTGGGATGGAATTGTTCCCTGTGAGGATGGGGAGGCCCTGGCACAGGGTGCCCAGAGAAGCTGTGGCTGCCCCTGGATCCCTGGAAGTGCCCAAGGCCAGGCTGGACAGGACTTGGAGCAGCCTGGGACAGTGGGAGGTGTCCCTGCCCATGGCAGGGGGTGGCACTGGATGAGTTTTACACTTCCTTCCCACCCAAATAATTTTGGGATTCCACGTGGGGGTTCCACACAGAACCCCTTGGCTCTGTGGGCTTTCACTGGCCCCACATGACACCAGGGTGACTCTGAACACACCTCGTCCCCAAAAGAGGCTTTTAACCCCTAAAGGATTGAAATCCCACCCAGATGGACCGATCCCAGCATGGCTTTGTCTGGARCACTGCAGAACCCCTTCCCTTGTGAACTGATCCCTTCTCCAGGCCCTTTAAACTCCTCCCTTTGCCACTGAGCTGCTGYAGGGCCAGAAAAGCTCCCAGAAAATGTCCCTGCAGCCCGAGGCATTGCCAGAACCCATCTAGGATGGGGAGGAGAGAGTCTGGCTCCCAAAATCAGCATCCGAGCCCGTGCTGTCAGCTGGCCCYTACCTTGGCACCCTCCGTGCTCAGCTACTGCCGGGACTCACTTTCACCTCCCATGAAAAATGAATTTCTTGGCTGCAAAGGAAAGAGAAAAATAAGTCAGGAATCCGTGTTTGGCCTGGCTGCGGCAGGGCTGCGTGCGGGGAGTGTTTATCGCCAAAAAAAAGGGATTCCACCCCAAAATTCCCATCCTGGCCACCCCCAGGTGGGGGGGCTTTGACTGGGTGCTGTGGGAGTGAGGAATTGAGGTGATGGGATCCCACCTCCCCYTCTGCTGCATCCCAGCCCCATCTCTGATCCTGTGGGGTCCTGCAGAGCTGATGCCTTTGGGGGCTCATCCTGTCCATGGATCAGGATATGGCTCCAAGAGCTGGAAATGATGGAGGAGGAGGAGGAGAGGGGGATTAAGGGTGGGCAAAGCCCAAAGCCCAGCCCTGGGCACGCTCTGGGCACAGGGAAATGCCAATCTACTCCCAACCAGGCCTGATCCCACACTCCTGCCCTGATTCCCAACCCTCCCTGCCCCACAGAGGGAGCTTTTCCCCGAGTCTGGGTAAAGATGGGGATTTGAAGGGTTTCCATCACCTCCCTGCCAGCCCCAGCTCCATCCTGGAGCTCAGCCCATTTGCTGCTCCCAAGGAAACACAGATCATATCCCGACACATCAACCCCTCTGTTAACCCAAAGAAAAGCAGGATTGGGGTCTGCTCCCTGCCTGGACATAATGCAGGAGTGGAAGCATCAAATCCAGAGGGCTGGGACACCTCCCCTGCCAGCCCAGGTCCCCAAGGAGGGAGGTTGGGACTGGTGACTGGGGCTGCTCCAAAGGGACAGGTTTGGGATGGAGAGAAMAAACTGGGAGGTGGCTGGGCTGGAGCATCCCTTGGGAACAAACCACAGCGGGAAGGAGCCAATTCTTGATGCTGAGAGCTTGAAAACGACCCTGGAAGATGGGATGGGAAAGATTCTGGGAATGCAGACACACAAAGGGACACAGGGACACACACAGGGACAGTCCTGGATGCTCCAGAGTGGCTGTGTTGGGGCAAGAATTAATTTCCAGCAGATTTTTCTGGCCCGAAGAAGCTGGGAGGTTGTTCAGAAAGTTTCTTTCCTGCTCACACTGATCCAAAATTGATTCKCTGGATCTGAGCTGCTCGGGATTTCCAAACTGGTGAGGATCCAGCTTTCACTGGGGAGGCAGAATTTGCATGGAGTCCTAATCCTTCCTGGGTTTGTAATGCAAAATCGCGGAGGAGGAGTAGGAGGAGGAGGAAAAGGAGGAGGAGGAGGAAGAGTAGGAGGAGGACAGGCTGAAGCTGGCAGCTCCCGGGGCACCCCCGGGCTCTGGGGGTGTCACCAGCCGGTGTCACAAGCCGGTGTCACAAGCGATGTCTCGGCGTGGTGCCCGGGGTCCCTTCCCAGCCCCGAGGCGCTTCCAGAGGAGGATGCACGGCGGGGGTGGCTGGGATGGGGGAGAGGAGGAGACAGCGGAGCCGGCTCAGCCCCAGCCGGAGGCCATCCCGATCCCGGGGGATGGAGGCTCGGGTGACCCGGCAATTCCCCGCTCCTGGAGCTGGGTGTCAGTGATCCGTGTGAGCCAAACCCCGGAGCTTTTCCAAGGGAAATGAGATGGCTGSAGATAGGGAGAGGGGAGGCTCTCCCAGGGGTCAGCTCCGCTTTTCTCGCCCGTCACGGAGCTGGGATGTGCCAAGCAGSGCCGGGAGCTGCCAGGCTGGAGCCACCCCAGGGAAATCCGGGATGGCAAGGGCAGAGCCAGGAGCCGCATCCTCCTGCGCCGCTTCCGATGAGAAACAGCTCCCGAACCTCCCCTAAATAATGTGTTTTGATGCCCTTCAAAGCGTCTGCATCCCTAAAAATCCAGAGGCATCGGACATCTGAGACCTCCCGAGGCTGCGCTGGGTTTAATCTCCCCGGGGATCAGCAGCGGGGCTGGGGCTGACAGCAGCATCTTTGTGGGGCTGGAATAAAGCCTGACTTCTTTTGCCATTTATTTGAAGAATATTAATCTTTCATTTTCTTTCTAAATGCTCCTCTTTGCTAAGGACCTATCTGTTACCTAAGTGCTCCGATAAATCTTCGAAGGTAAAATTACATGTGGGATGCTGCCAGAAGGGTACATTTAAGAATACTTCCTAAATTATCAACTGCATTAATCTTAATTACTTGGGTAAAAGTAGAGTCTGGCATTAGGGTGGACTAAATTGAGCGGGTGTTTGTTTGTCTTTATCACATCACATATTTGAGATCATTTAACAGAGCCCAGATAAAAGGGGCAGCGAGGGCCAGAGCAGCTGCTTCGTGGAAATGCTGGCTCTGGGTGACAAAGAGCAGCTGGGAGGGGACCCTGGGGGTCCCTGAGATGGCAGGACCTGCCTGGGGCAGGTGGCAAAAATAGAAAAAATAGAAAAAAAATAGAAAAAAAATAGAAAAAAAATAGAAAAAAAAATCCAAACGAACTCCTTAGGCAGCAGGTTGGGTGATAAAAGCAGTTTTGGAGAGAGACAGGATGGGGGAATGGCTTTAAATTGAAAGAGAGGAGGTTTAGGTGGGATTTTGGGAAGGAATTCCTCTCTGTGAGGTGGGGAGRCCCTGGCACAGGGTGCCCAGAGCAGCTGGATGGTCCTGGAGATCCCTTCCACCCCAAACCCTGTGACCCCACATCCCACTAATCCCATTACCCCAGGATCAGGCCCCGCTCCGCATTTCTCTCCTCACCTCCGTGACCCCCAAAAAGGGGAGCAAAAAGCCAAAAATGGCAGGCAGTGACAGCACTCGCAGGCCAATCTCACATTTCCTTCCTCCCTGCAGAAGCTGGGTCTGCTCCAAGCTCCCGCTCCCAGCCCTGGTCAAACGGGGACAGGAAACCTGAGAGCGATGAGCGCATCCCAGGATTTTCACCCAACCTCATTTAGCTCCTTGTCCTTTTGGTATCCCGCTGCCCTCCTTGGGAGCTGTGCTCAGGGCTGGGGGTGGCTCTGCCTTTGGGCTCACACACACACGGATCACTGTCAGCAATTAATTGGCTCCCTGCAATTAAACACTCAATTGGGGTCGGGGGATGAACGGCAGCAGTGCATGAATCCAGAAATTCCTTGGGATGCTGTGAATAGGATAGGGATGGAGAGAGTGCACTGCCCTAGGGGTCTCACCCCATTCCTGACCCAGACACAGGGACACAGGGACAGAGGGACACAGGGACACAGGGACACAGGGACACAGGTCCTGCCGAGCCCCGGAGGGCACAGAGGGATCAGCAGCAGCTCCCAGCAGAGCAAGGGCAGGCAAAGCCCAAAATTATCCCCGAAGTGCTCTGGCTGAAGGAACACAGCGGCCATGAGACCCGGACACAGGCAGGATTCGGCTGATGGGGAGGGCAGCACCGCACCCGGGGCTCAGAGGGACTGGGGGAGCATGGGGACAGTGAGAAGGACAAGGGTGGCACAAGGACCAGGGGTGGCACAAAGACCAGGGGTGGCACAATATTCGGGGTGGCACGAGGACCATGGGAAGCACATGGACCAGGGTGGCACAAAGAGCAGATGAAGCACAAGGATCCAGGGTGGCACAAGATTCGGCGTGGCACAAAGAGCAGGGTGGCACAAGACCATGGATGGCACAAGGACCATGGGTGGCACAAGGACCATGGCAAGGTCGAGGATGACAGGTGGCACAAGACCACAGGAAGGACAAGGACCATGGGAGGCACAAGATCCAGGGTGGCACAAGGACTATGGGAAGGACAAGGACCAGGGGTGGCACAAAGACCAGGGGAAGCACAAGGACAGCAGGAAGGACAAGGGTGGCACAAGGACCACAGATGGCACAAGATTCGGGGTGGCACAAAGAGCATGGGTGGCACAAAGACCATGGGTGGCACAAGGACCAGGGGTGGCACAAAGAGCATGGGTGGCACAAGGACCAGAGGTGGCACAAGATCCGGGGTGGCACAAGGACCATAGACGGCACAAAGACCAGGTGAAGCACAAGGATCCAGAGATGGCACAAGGACCAGGGGTGGCACAAGAACATAGATGGCCCAAAGAGCAGGGGTTGCACAAGGATTATAGGAAGGACAAGGACCAGGGGTGGCACAAAGACCAGGGGAAGCACAAGGACAGCAGGAAGGACGAGGGTGGCACAAGGACCAGGATTGGCACAAGAGCACAGGAGGGACAAGGACCATGGATGGCACAAGGACCATGGGTGGCACAAGGACCATGGGTGGCACAAGGACCATGGGAAGCACATGGACCAGGGGTGGCACAAGGACCAGGGGTGGCACAAAGAGCAGATGAAGCACAAGGATCCAGGGTGGCACAAGATTTGGGGTGGCACAAAGAGCAGGGTGGCACATGACCATGGATGGCACAAAGACCAGGGGAAGCACAAGGACAGCAGGAACGACAAGGGTGGCACAAGTACCACAGGTGGCACAAGGACCAGAGGTGGCACAAGGACCACAGGTGGCACAAGGACCAGAGGTGGCACAAGGACCACAGGTGGCACAAAGATCATGGGTGGCACAAGATCCAGGGTTGCACAAAGACCAGAGGTGGCACAAGGACCATCACAGCACTGAGCAGCAGCCCCAGCTCGGGTGCTCTGGGCCCACCCACCACTCCGGTCTGGATGATCCCATCACCCCAGAATCCCGGGATGTGCCACACCAGAGCCCGTCCCTGCAGCCTCACATCCCTCCCACCCCACAAAGCTCGTCCTGGTGACTCCCAGCCATCCCAAAACTGTCCCAAAGGCCGGGATGCTCCGGTCCAGCCTGAACCAGTTCCCACAGGATCTGATAGGAGGAGACTGCTGCCAGATTTGGGGGCTTTTAAGCTGTCAACTTTCTTATAATTATTAGCAATGTTTTCAATCAGTTCTCCTCTGAAATTTGCTTCAGAAAGACAAGATTAATGAGCATTTCCTTTGGGGATTTATTGCACTGTTAATTATTCTCTGCCAGAAATTTGGTGCAGACTATTATCAGCTTTTTTTTCCTTCTCTTTTTTTTTTTTTTTTTCAATTAAAACTGATTATAATTTGCTCTCTAT